GGTGGGGGGTGGGGGATGTCACCCTGTGGGAGCTGCTCCACCCAGGGAGATGGTTTGGGGGGGAAAAGAGGAAATATGAGGCAAAGGAAAGACAATAAACGTTCTGGGGTTGTACACCTTAACCAGCCTGGGCTGCAGGAACAGGAATGTGAGGGAAAGGGGGACACAGAGGGACGTAGGGGGAAGGCAGCAAAGTCCATGCTTCCTCACTGCAGAGCTGCAGCACGCCCCCAAAATATCATGCCCTGTCCCCAAATCACACTATGGTGGGCTTGATAGCCTGAGGGATTCCACAGGCAGGAGGAGGCAGGCACTTCCCAAAACCACCCTGATCCTTAGCAGAAAAAAAAAATCTCCCACATTTATTATGTTGAAGCTAGCAAGTGCCCCTCCCTCTAGGAAGCAGCGAGAGTCAAAGTGAAATTCCTCACCCACAAGTGCAGTTCCAGAGCTGGTGGGAAAAAAACATAAGTGAAAATTGTCACAAAATGGTATTTTGGCTCTTTTTGTTTGCAGCTGGGGCCTGGCAGCGATGCAATGGGTGCTCATGCTGGCACTGGGTGCTCAGCACCCAAGAATGCAAACTGGGGCAATTCCTGGGAAAAAAAAAAAACAACACAACAAAAAAAAAACCCCAAAACAACAAACCACCCTGCCATGTCTGTGAGGTGAGCTGGGGCCTGGGACCTCCCAGGGGGTGTGTGTGGGGGGTGTCACTGATCTGAAGAAACACCTCAAAAATTACTGATTTAATGACGTATGTGCAGTCATGATGGGCTGAGGACTTTCCTTCCCTGCCCCTTTGCTTTTAGGGGTCCGTCTGTCTGTCAGAGCATCCCTGCTGCCTCGCATCAGGAGAGCACCGCGGCAATGGGGACAGGCACAGGAGCAAACACAGGTAAAGGTTTAACTGGAGTTTATTTATACATAAAGGAGGTAACTGAATTCTGAGTTAAAAAAAGAAAAAGCAGATGATAGACATTTGAGATGATGAATCCTCCTGGCTGAAAACATGAAGAAAGGAAAGAAATGGAGCAGATGATGGCAAATTTCAGTGGAAAACAGAGGGCAGTGTCCTCCCCTCCCTGCAAGGCAGTGGGAGCGTTACCGGTGTGAGGACAGGGACTCAGCAATGGCTTTGCCGTATATCGCAAATACGAGGGAAGGGGAAAAGACAGCTCAAGGGCGACTTCATCATGATGTGAATTGACTTACAAGCAACCAAAGTAGTCCAGGATTAACTTCTGCTTAGTAACAAAAAAAAAAAAAGAAAAAAAAAAAAAAAAAGAAAAAAAAAAAAAAAAAGAAAAAAAAAAAAAAAAAGAAAAAAAAAAAAAAAAAGAAAAAAAAAAAAAAAAAGAAAAAAAAAAAAAAAAAGAAAAAAAAAAAAAAAAAGAAAAAAAAAAAAAAAAAGAAAAAAAAAAAAAAAAAAAGTAATGTAATTAGCTAACTAGGACGATTTGCTTCTAGTGATGGCAAGTAGATCCAGGTTTACAGTGGTGTTCTATGCACCAGCTCAACTGGCGATGGCATCCAGGTCCACCAAAGCCCACGGAGACGCAGCACAGCCTCATGAAATGGCATTTCCCAGTATGTAGTGACTAAATGACAGTGTAAAGCTGTTTGGAAAAGTAGGGCCTGAGCCCCCTCTTTTCTTTGTCAGCGGCAGAGGGGTTTAAGAAAAAAGCCCTGCCCTATGTAGAATTTGAGGTGATGCTGGACCGAGCCTGTGTGCCCTATGGCAGGGGCGGCTCTGGCACCGGCTGACTCCGGCAGCTAAATCATAGACAGCATGGCTTTACACAGAGTAGTTTGGGCATCTGAACATCGAGCACGAGGGAAAGCAGAGAGCAGACTTTTGCCCAAAAGGCATCCGTCAGCAGAGCCCCTCCACAAAACTCTTGGACAATGCTAGCGCATCGTGGGACGGGAATCTCCTGTGATCTTCTTGTGCCGTGCTCGGGATAACCTGCTCCACCCCGCTGTGCCTGAGCATCGCATGTGCTGATGCACGGTGCATGTCAATGGGCTATGCTTCCCCGTTAGCTCAAACATAATTAGAAAAAATAAGAGCCATATGGTAATTCCAAATACAGGCAAAACAATGTCTGTGTGTTTGGGTCTGGTATACTCAAATATTTTGCTAGGGCATTAATTTTTAATTCTTACATCAGACCCACATAAGCAAACATAAATAGGATTTTATACTTTACATAATCCATCCAGCTTGTGTTTGCTGTTACATATACTGAATAATCACTGCCTGCCACTACATACAGAAGAGCTAACAATAAATATTAGGACACAAACTTACAAGTTAAATGAGATACAGTTAAGTAGTCGATTAAAAGGACAACCATAATGTAAGGTTAAAGGCTAAGTATTGCTTTTCTAATGTGCTTTGCTCCGTTGTTTCAGTCGCTCACCTGCCAAATCTATACTGGGAGGAGCATATAGGAGTGCTTGGAGTCATTTGTGGCAACAGGCATAGATTAGGGGGGTGTAAGCAGGCTTACTGAGGAGAATTAGTCATGGGGAATGTATGCAGGTAACTGGCAGGGTTCATGGCCTTGTATGTATGGAAACCTGCAATATTGGCCCAGGCCGCCGAGGCGAGCAGCGGGGCCGTTACAAGAAGGAGCTGTTCATTCCCTGCTCCCCATCCCGGTTTCTTCTTCCCACTGGGTCACACAGAGAGGGACGGGCTCTGCTCAGCATGGGCTCGCAGGAGCGCTGCAATGTCCCCACGGGCAGCACGCTGGGCCAGCGACAGGGCCGAGTTACCGCCCTGCGGGGAGGGAAGAGGTGAAGACGTTACCGCCCGAATCCCTGCATCTCACCCCGGCCACCCCCGTAATCCCCCCGGCTCCATTCTCAACCGCCTCCACTTCTTAGCCCCATCACTGCTAAAAGAGGCAGTTTGCAATCTGCCTACTGACGAGTTTTTCTCAGCTCTCCAGCGAGCAGTTGGCCAGGGCAGCTTTGCACCCAGCTATTTACCCCCAAAACCTCCTTCCCCACAGCTCCTTCCTCTCTTAAAATGAGTCACCATCCTGTAAACCTCCCCACGGTCTTTTGGGGCTTATTCTCAACCACACAAAACACAGCCTGGTTGTCCCTTCTCCTGCTCCTGGTGCCATCCCACATGTCTTGGACAAAATTGTGGTTTAATTAGAAAATAGTTGCATAACTGTAAATGCAGCCATGCGGCCTGTGCAGGAGGAGGATTTGCACCTGCCAGCCGTGCTGCTCCCAGCCTGGCCCTGTCCCACGTGTCCCCCTGGAGAGGCGTCCCTTCTCAGGGGAGAGTTAATTGCTGCTAATTTCTTGGAGCTGAAGCTCTTCTCGTTCCACATTTCAAGAATTTAATCTTTTTTTTTTAGGTTTATACCTGGTTGGGTTCTTCCCCACAGTGCTCCTGCTCAGGCTACGGCTGGGATGCAGGATGCTGGCACAGCCACCCCATCTACTGCACAAGCATCAAAACCAGGGGTACTCTCCTAAAAGTGGTCCCCTGATTAGTAATTGGACCAAAATAGTACTTCTTCACTTAAAAAACACCACTTGGGGATTGCTGCCTGTAAAACATGATCCCACATGAGCTTTCCATGCCTGATGGACATGAGGTTGCATACGGGACTGAGCACGGCGCTGGAGCCTCACCTTGTCTGTCAGTGTGACCTGGCAGCCAGGCTGGGCCAAGAGGAGCCTGACAATGTCGGCGTTTCCCTGCCGGCAGGCCACCATCAGGGCCGTCGTCCCCTCCTCGTCCTGGAGGTTGACATCGGCCTGGCAGGAGAGGAGGGCTCGCACCATGTCATCCCGCTCGTGGCTGACCCCCAGCATCAGGGCGGTCTGGCCTCCCTGCAACCACACAGGGAAAGGCTGAACACCCCATACCCACCAGCCTCCTATAGTCCTGCTTGCTCAGACTGTTATATATAATAATAATGACTGTTATTATTGCACATATATTGTAAGTTTGGATATTATTATTGCATAGTACATACATCATAACAATTTATAGTATTATTTCATATTGCATATTATTGCATATTACTGCACATTATTATTAAATAACACTGGGGCTCTTCAGCAGGTATTGTAAAAGACACGTGCTCACTTGCACCACAGCCACGTGGAGAGGTCTTTGCAGTGGCATGGCCAAACTGCTCAGCTGCCCCCAAAGGCAGCTGTCCCCCTAACCCTCCTGGGCAGTTTAATTTAGGTCTAGACAAACTTCTACAGCTGCTTGGAAGAAGATGTGGGTGAAGGGGACTGCCATCTCTGAGACTGAAATGTGTGACTCTGTGATGAAACAACTGCTCACCAGCAAACCTAGGGATCCTGTATCCCAGAGTCCACCCTGCACTGCTCCTCCCTGGCATCACTTCTAAGTTATTAGCTCAGAAAAATTGTTTTGCAAAATTTTCAGCCTTCCTTTTGCCTGTTCATTTTACCCTTCACAGGGAGCTGTTGGGCAGCTATGCTGCAATTCAGCTGAGGATGCTTTTGTAACTTTTGAGAAACAGCAACTCCAACCCAACGTCTACTGCTGAGCCTCAGCCTGGCACTGCACATGCAGCATAAGGAACTTGAATTATATCCCCCCCCCAGCCCAAGACCTCTATGGGGACATGATAATGCCACAGCCTGAACTGGCATCACACAGTGATGGCCATAAATAGGAGGCTAAGAGCTCGTCAGGAGTCACTTTGCAGATGCCTTTGCCTAATAAATGGGCTGGCTGCCCTCCACCCATGGCGGTGGCACCATCCCAGGCAGGGCCACACTCAGTTTTCAAAGAAACAGCAGAACTACAGGGACACACCTGGGCGGCTCGCTGGTTGACATCCCCCTCCTTCAGCAGCTTCATCACCACATCCATGTCCTCGCCCGTCTCCGCGGCTGCCAGCGGGGTGAGCATCACCGCCGTATAGCCAGCACGGTTCTGCAAGTCCAGGCGGCACACGCCTGGCAGGCAATGCACCATGCAGGGGAAGGATTCAGCCCCACGATGAATCAGGTGGAGAGAGAGACAAGCAAAAGGGAAGCAAAGAAGGAATTATAAAACATGCAAGCACATTATATTCCCAGAAACAGGAGTTTCCATAATTATGCAGGACTGAGATTTATCCGTGTTATATATCTAGTCTTATGAGCACAGCATTAAAGGATATTTGGTGCTATGCATTGCTACAGTTAATTACAATTGCTGAGTTCAAGTCAATGAACTTTGAAGACCATAACTGAAAAAAAAAGAACAGGGGAATAATTAATTCCTTGGGCACACACCAGTTGGGGAGCTGTGGCCTGTTTGCTTCAACTCCTTCAGCAAGGGAGCAGCAGAAAGATGACTGTCACCCAATGGTTGGTGTAAATCCATTCTGGCCCCATTTCACTCACTTTTCACCTCAAACAGCCTATTCCCAACCCCACCACGAGGAATGAACCACGTCTGATGGACTGGAGCTGGGGTCCAGCCTTGCCCTGGAGACCTGGCCACCTCGGGCAATCAGCAGCAGAAGGGGACAAACCACAGCAGTTCCCTGCAGTCTGCGGCAACAATTGGGTTATAGATGTGTATGATAATCTGCCATTTCCCTAACATTTAACAGATTGTCTGGCCCATGAGAAAAGGCCAAAGTGCCTTTATTCTTGCTGAGCGCGCGTGCACTTTTCCCCCTGTACAAGCTCAGCTGAGATTTTTTATTTCTTTGCAATGTGAGCTGAAAGTTCAGTAGTTTAAAATGGGGTTTTTTTGCAGCGCTGTGGGGTTTGTTACGCTCTCTGGGGGGTCTGATCCTCCAGCTCCAAGCCATGATGTGGCATTTGCTGCTACAAAAAGTTGGGAGAGCCACCCCATCCCACCTGGACCAGGGCCATGAGAGACACCCCTTGTCCACGGGGACCCTGAGCCCTCTCCAAAGTCAGATTGCAAAGCCCTCAAGATGTGTCAGGGCCCTGAGGGCACTAATGAGCCTTAGCTGGGACCCCTGCCCAGACTTATGGGACCAGGGCCAAGTTATGGGGGAGGATGCTGGTCTTCAGATCAACAATGTCTCCTGGGTGGACCTTGGCCCCATGCCTCTATCTTGGATGGACCGTGGCCCTACACTTGTCCCCTTGGATGGATGTTGGCCCCATGCTTGACTACTGGATGGCTCCTTTGCATGTAGGTTGTAGTTGGTCCCCAGCCCCACCTCTGTCCCATCTTCATCTCCATCTCCTTTTGCTCCTGACTGAACTCCCTAGGAGAACCTTGGACCTCACTCACTGTTTGCCACATCTGGGACCCCCGTCTGGATCCCCATTACCTGGCTCTGCCGGCCATGGCCATCCCCTATCGGACCATGCCCCATTGGCAAGAACAACATAAAGTAACTTCCACACCCATATACAACAAAAGCCATGGCTGAGCAGAGTGGCTGTTCCTACCTGTGTCTAGCAGGAGCTTTGCAATCGGGAAGTTGGAGTGGGAAACGCTGTAGTGAAGAGCCGTGTTGCCATTCCTGTCAGCCAGGTTCACCACCATTGCCAGGAGCTGGGGCTGGATGGCCCCCAGAGCCTTCAGATATGCTGCGACCACCTCTGAGCTGGAAGACTTGCGGCTCGACACCCGGAACCACTCCTGGCAGACAGTGCTCATGATGTGCCGCTGAAAACACCAAGGTCTCACCATTACTCCTGGGGTAGTCACCCTGCAAACCGGTTGCTGCCCCAGCTCCTCGCCCCACACCACTTTGTCCTGTGCTCTGGCATCACTCAGATGGTATTTAACTTTTGGTTTTGGGATTACTGCTATAACTTAAGGGGGAAAGGAATTTCCTGTGGTAACTTGAGTGAGTAAGCAGAGAAACCCTTCATCTTCTTTTTTTTTTTTTCTTTCTCCCCCCCCCTCCCCCTTTTCCTTTCTTTTTGGCTATTCTAAAACTGACTCAGAGGTCATCTCGTCCCCCTCTCCTCACAAAACTGTCCATGGTATGGTAGGGCACAGCCTGCAACACACCATCAGGATAATCTTATCCATTAAACATAACAGAGAGCAGGAACTATGTCTGAAATGGGATTGAAAATTATCTGTACCAGATGCTTGTCACTTGTGGTCCTGATTTCTGAGAGGTGCTTGCTGAGTAGCTGGCAGTCGGCAAGAAAATCTTCAGACGGTTTGCATCTAAAGGGAAAATACTTCTGTAAATCCATCACGATACAGAACTTGCAGGAGGTATTAAAGCAGGAAGCAGAACATGCAGTATAGGTCAGAAAACATTCAACACTTATTCACGTGCTTAATTTTATGGACACAAGTTGTCTCATCGACTTGACACAGATTTTAGGTACAAAGTTAAGCACTTAAATAGGTGTTTAAGTTCAAAGTCCCAGATCTGTATGGTCAACTTCACCTGTTCCAAGAAGCATTAAAGTGGGGAGAAAAAAAAATCATCTTATTCCTGAATCTGCAAAGAACCTTACTTAAAAACTTTACTTGAGCAGGTGGAAATGAGCCAATTCTAACCAAATATGACTCGCTCCGCCTTTTCCACAGTCAAGCATCCATTAAGATTCTGTAGTAACTCAAAAAATATTTAGCTCTTTAAAGCCTTTTCCCATGGCTACAGAGGTCAGTGGCTGTGTTTCCACTGAGCAGCTGAAGCACTGACCCCAGCCCTGTAGGAGCGACTGAATGCAGTGCTGTGTGTCCTGTGGCTGCAGAGACGTGGTGGAAAGCATGATCACTGTCTGGTTTTTCTGGTTACCTGTCAGCCTTGTGCTCAGTGCAAGGCACTGCTTCTGCCGATGGCTCCTGTAGGTCATCATCCTCACATCTCTCCTTCGAGGAGGTCCATGATGAAGCCCCCTCACTTTCACCTCTAGCTTTCGCCTGTGTGGGCTCGAAATCTTCGGCTCTTCTCCCCATCTCACTCTCCACGTCCCCATCCGATGGGCTGTCTTCACAACTTGTGTCTTCGCTTGAAGTCGTTTCGTAGCTATTTGAGGACACCACATGTTATTCACTCCTTCCCCATCTGCAACCACAAGGCCTGACCAAGACTCATTGAAGACACCCACTGACTCCAATGGGCCTTGGATGAAGCCCAGGGTGATACTCCAGTTAAAAGGTTAGAGCCACAGCCAAACTGAGGGTTAGTCTTTTTTTTTTTTTTTTTTTGGCTTCTTAAGCCAGCAGGAGCATGATAGAAGCAGTTAATTAGCAGCAGGCAAGGTTACTTCAGGGACTACTTGGTGGTTTGGAGGCATGTCCATCACACAGGCCCCAGCATGGCCAGGCAAGGGCTACATGTTGCATCTGTGCTAGGAGCTGCCAGCATGCTGATGGGGAGCCATGAGAAACATGGACCCTGCATCCAGATGGGACAAGCAGCAGGTCAGCAACCTTGAGGACTGCTAGACAAAAAACGTGTTTGCAGCTCCAGCATGGACCCAAGTGCACCATTCAAGCAGCCCTGCTAGTGAGACCTCTCTTCTGGTTGTCCAAAAGTATTAACATCTTCCATGGGACAGAACATTTCACTCTAAGGGATCCCCAAACTTTTCTCAAACTAGTCAAGATTCCTCTACTCACTACAAGTTGTACCCATTTCAGCAACTGTTGGTAGAAGAAGCTCTACACAACAAGAGTAACACCAGACAAACTCAACAGCAGTAGCCATCAAGCTGGGAAGTCAGAGAAGTGTATGTCAGCAGAAACCAGCATCCAAACTTGCACACATAGCCGTTTGAACACTGAAGGGACAGTGAAATGTGTCCTGCCCTCTTCGTGCCAGCACATGTACTCCTTGGTAGAAAATGTGCCAGTGCTGCTCTTCGAGATGACAGCACACGTTGTTGTATCCAGTTAGCTCAAAGGCCAAAGGGTGTTAGACATTGGATACACAGGGAACTGGGCGTTGGAGTACAACCTAAAATATGGGTTTCCTTCACCCCAAGGTAATTCCTTATTTTCTGAAATAGTCTTTTCTCAGGCCCTGAACCAACTTGTGTTGCTGTTGCTGGAGCTTGGAGGCAGGTTAGTGGCAGCGTGCCCACCCAGCCAATGCTGACCTCCTCCAAAACCCACCAAAGTTAGTGGGAATCTTCCCATGGACCCAGCTGGGTTTTGGATGAAGCCCCAAAAGATGGGTGTGCAGAAAGTGTCAGTCCCCAGGGTGTCCCTCGCTGCGCTGAAAACACCAACATCTTTTCTACAGGGTTACTTACAGGTTATCAGTGCTGGATTAAAGAAGGGAGAAAAGAGGCTCCATTTCAAATGGCCTTTTAATCAAGAGGTTTGGAGGGGAAAAGAGGGGAAAAAAAAGAATGACTTCTTCAGCTATACAGAGGATATCGCATGTTAAAAGGCAGTTTTATCTTCTGAACAGATGCTTACCCACCATTTACCCCAACAAACTGAAGATTCTTTTTGGTCCCATTGCCTCCTGCATGGAAACCATAACCTTTCTTTTTCATGATAGATTTAAGACTTGTGGTTGGAGAGATTTCTAGCAAAATACAAAACAATAGATTAATGAAGCAGATGTGCCATAATTATCAAGGATTATTCCCAAGCTCTAGCAACAATCTACAGATCATAAACGTACGCATCTTTGTTCATCTTAGGAGATGCTTTTTACGTCTTGCAAAACTACTGATGCACCTGGCCACAATCTGAACCTGCCCTGTTGACCTTTAAAATATTGGTCTCAAACATCCCCAAGTGACTGGGCATTATATACATGTCCTATGAATATAACTAGGGCATTATATACATGTCCTATGAATATAAGTAGGTTTTACTTTTGTAATAATGTTTTCTTTTTTAATTTTTTTTCAATACTAATGTATTGGAAATCTCCTATATAAATGTCCTATAATACTATATGGATGAGTCTTTCCATTGCAGTTTGAATAGCCGCACATGTGTTGCTTATAATAGGTCACTCATCTACTTGCAAGCCCCCCCAACAGAGAACAAGCAACCTTTGCTTTTGGATTCTTATCTTCATATAAGCTAAAATTATGTTAGACAAATTGCTGTGAGTGGGGACAGGTCTTTTCCCAGCCTAGTTGCTCAGTTAGCTTGAATTGGTTTTGGTTCTGGTGAACTTCATGCTGATTTACCCCAGAAGAGCATGAGTCCCACATCCTTGCAAATTGAAATGGCTAATCCAATTAAGAAAAATGGTTATTTGATGGAATAGCCACAAGTATGGCCACTTTTGGAAGCTGATCCTACATATAACTGAGGCACAGCTTTATCAAACCCTACATGGTTTTCCTTGCTTTTTTTATTTAAGATCACATAGCTTTTGATGTGCAGAGATTTGCCTTCCTTATACATACTTAGGAGGATCTTTTCTGATCTGACTGATAACAATTATACCGAGCTCCACTGCAGCACCCCTGCTCAACACTTGAATAAATGGGAAGAGATTTGGCCCAGACACGTTGAAACTGATATCAATATTATTTACCCAACTGTTGATAGTGTGTGTTTGAATTCTCCTTATCTGTGGGCCCTTGCGTAGAGTAGGCAGACAGCAACGAGTTTAAGGAATTAACTAATTGGTTCTGAATGGAGCTGAGCTTGGAAGCCGGCTGTTTAATTGCGCTTGCTAACTCGGGGTAGCCATGCTCCAAACACAGCCACTGCTCCTGCAAAAGCTCCTGGATTTTTTTTACGTATTGGCTGATGGGGTCAACACCAGGGACATCCTCGTGGTCAGGGGGACCTTCCTCTTCCAGCCCGTCTCGAGATTTGTCTTCGCCAAAGCCTGCCTTGTTTTCTCCTGTGCTTGAGCCAATTCTTGTTCCTTGATAGCCTTCTGCAGTCACTGCATGAGCAGTGCGACTCTGGGTATCGTAATTATTCCTGTGATTTTGATTGTCATCGCTGAGGTGCTCATCAATCTTCAGCTGGGTGAAGCATGGTATATGAAGGCCAACCTCAATGTCAGCTTCACCAAAATGTCCTTGTTCCTCTCCACTGACACTAGTGCAAGCATCTGCCAGTCCCTGACCTCTCCAAGCACCCTGCACCATCGCCTGTGCATTCATGTTGTCTACTCTGTGGATGCCGCACCCTATGGATTTGGTGGAGACTGGGAGATTTACGTTGATGCCTTTGTCATGGGCTTGCTTAGGCCCAGTTACCTGTGAGAGGTCGGTGTTCACCGCAGCATCGTAGCACTGCAAAGCCCCGCTGCTCTGCCTGGACAATGCCTTAGCCTCTTTGGCGTTTTCCTGGCACAGTTTCTCTTCCAGCTGAGCGTTGGAGCTGGCCAGTAACTGAATGCTTTTCTCCTTCTCCTTGATCTCATGATCCTGCTGCTCCAGCACTGCCCTGATCTGCTCGAGCTCTTCTTTCTTCTTGCTCAGCTGCTCCTCCAGAGCAGCAACCTGCTGCTTCAGCACAGCCACCCCACCAGGCTCTCCTGCATCACAAGGCTGAGAACCACAGCTCTCCTTGTTCTCTCCAGCCCGGACACTCCTCTCCTCAGCTTTCTTTAGCATGTTTGGAGCAATTGCACTTACACTTAACTCCCTTTCCCCAGGGTTCACGTTCTCCTCTGTGAGCTGGAGGGCACCTGGTGAGGTTGGTTCAGCCCCAGCCAAGATGGAGCGACTGCTGGCGTCGGTCACATCACCCTCCTCATCTCCACTCTCCATCATCACCTGCAGCTGCGGCGCCGTGGGATGCTGGCTCTGCCATGGGGGCTGCATCTGCACCAGCTCTGGGCTGCCTCCACCCAGATGCTCCTTCTGCCCCAAGGAGACATCTTGCTCCAAGTTCATCTCCCGAGGGAGATTTAACATGATGCCGTCGGAGCCAGGTGAACACGGTGTGGGGTGAAAGGTGCTTTCGGAGCCGCTCTGGTCGTGGGAGGGCTGGGGATGTGGCCGGAGGGGTGAGGGCACCCTCCCATCCCCTGGCGGGGGCTGGCCAGGCAGCAGCGCAGCGGGCATGCTGGAGGCTCGCAGTAGCTGCGGCCGCCCACGGAGCTTGCCCTCCTGCCACCCCAGCTCCGCCTGCCGCCATGTTTCTGCCAAAAGGGCTTTTCTCCGATAACTCGGCTCGTCGGCCACGGGAAGGGTCAGCTCGTTGGGCAGGAAGAGACGGGGGGACTCCTCGGCCCCCAGGGATGCCTTTCGCTGGGGGAAGGAGCAGGTCGCCGTCCAGCTCTTGCTGGGAGCAGACGTGCATCCACGGGAGCCGTTCTCAGGCAGGCTGAAGTTTCGGGGCAGGGTGCTGAATTTCGGCTGCTTGGCTTTCCGGTGGATGTGAACCCTTCTGATGGTGTTCCCTTTCTCAATGTCGTCCACATATTTCAGGAAGTCCAGGTCCAAGTGAAAGCCGTATGGCGTCTCCACAGAGTAGGGGAGGCTGCGGGTCTGCTCCCTCTCCCCGTCAGGTTTGGGTGGCTGGCCATTTGCTGAAACAACCCAAAAGAAAGGGATGATTGAATTTTGAAGAGAACAACAAAAATAACAAAATATATGTTACTGGGTTTTTTCATCTCAGTTTCAGGCAAGCGAGGGCTGCAGTTCATCATCATGGAGGCTTGCGGTGAAGCTGCGCAGAGACACAGCAACATGTGCGAAGGTCCGATCCGGTTTTCTGGAAGTGAATCAGGTAATTGTTGCACTGAGGAAGCCAAAAATTTGCTGAAATCATGGCTCTAATTGGCAATTAAGCAAACAGCAGGTTTTGCAGGCAGAGCTACGTGTCTGTGTAAGTATAAAAATCTGCCTGATGTATTATAAATCTAGCTCAAAAAACAAAGGTGGAACCAATCTGTGACAATTACATTTTTCAAGGCTTTTGGTTTGGTTTTAACTTTTCAGTGGCGTAAGCAATGCCTTGCAAGCCAAGCAAGAAAATCATTGCATCGTTTCATCAGCAAACACCAGGTCACAAATTATTCCTTGAAAATGATGAATACAGCACCAGGCAGAGGCCAGACCCAGACAGTGCCAGCCGGGGCTGCTTTACACAGCCGCATCCATGCGAAACACGTGCCTCCCAAGGTGACCGGCTGCACGGCACCGAGTACGGCTTTTAATTGAGGAAAATCGCCACCAAATGCGTGACAGTGTTTGCCCACCCAGCCATCGCAGGTGCACGGCTCCCGCAGCGCAGCCCAAGGCTCCTGGTTTAGTACAACCTAATACAGTCAGGTCCAGACTGCAAAAATTCACAGCCCCCAAATTTCGTCCTTGAGGGTCTAAATAGTTAAACCCCTGCATCATTGTTCATTTTTCTGCCCCAAGTCCCTGAAATTGCAGTGGTTTGGGCTGCTTTGCACCTCTGAGCAAACAAGCTGTGCTCTATGAGGATGAGGAGGAACAGCTCGACCAGGAGAAACCAGGTTTCATGGCTGCTCCCTCTGTCTCCCTCCTGGTCCAGCAGCTGCATGGGGACCGGCAGAATTTGGCATGGCTTTTGGTGACGCTTGTCACAGAGCATCACCGAGACACAGCTGCCTTTTTGATGGGAAGGAGCACGTGAAAGTCAGAGGAACGATAGAGGGGAAATGTCACACAGGCTAATACGGCACAAGAGCAAAGCCCAGCCTGTGGGAGCAGAGACTTGTTCTGCCTGCAAAGGACAGGAGGACAAATACACTGAGAGCTGTGACCACATTTTTGCTGTGGTTTAGGAGGTCTGCATAATACATGAACGATGCATTTTTCACCTCGTGGCCCTACCACATATCTATAGAAAGCAGGTTATTTACAGTATTTCTGGTAATGAAATTACTTCAGGGCTTGGTTGGGTTGGTTTTTTTTTCAAGAAGCAAATGAGCAAACAAACATCCCATAGCCTCCATACCGTCTGTCTTCTCCATGGTGTGGTCTAATCGGGCTGCCAGTTAAACATCCTCTGACAAGCTAGGGCAGATGAGTCGCTTCACCCTTGAAAAAAAGAAACAGATACTGTTGAATTAAAAAAAAAAAAGCTCAATCATCTGAACTTAATCTCTCCTTATAGCCTTACACCTTTTCACAGGCCTTTCCCCCCATCCTCCACTTACTTCCCGTATTCTGCAGCCAGACTATCGTCCGCTAAGCACTTTCAAGCTGTTTAAATCAATAGCTCCTTTTCCAGTGGCCACAACTCCTGCTTCATAGACACATCCCAGGTAGTTGGTTCTTATAAAACACCCCCTGCATTACAGATGGTTTTGACAGCAAACGAGGAAAGACAGACATTTAGAACAATTGCTACTGGGCTTGAAATAGATGGCACAAGGACTCTTCATCGACTCCTGTAAGCTGGATATATCCAACATACTATAACATCTTTGAAAACAGCAAGGGATATAAACTATCCACAGAAATTACTGTTTTGCCTTTTTTTTATTGAATAACAACCAAAGATTCAAAATTTATGTTAAATCTTCTTCAAGTGAAACCCATTATTTCAGAGCATGTCCATACTATTATAAAAACCTTCACCAAATTGCACTAAAATACAGACAAATCACTTTCCTATCAGGGAAGACCTTCAGGTGGAGATCTACCACAGCCTACGTCGTGAACTTCACATCCAGCCCGGTCTGTGTTGCCCTCAGGCTCTTTCCCATCATGTGGACATGGATGAGACCTTCCTGGAGCATGAGAGAAGATTAAGGCTGGGAACAGCTGAGAAAAGTCCTGGGTGAAGCTTCTCTCCTCCGTGCCCTTTAGCAAGACACAGGGAGGATGCTGCCAAGGGCGAAGTTGGACGTCACTGTAGGAGGCTTCCTGACTTGCATGAGAAGGGCAACATTGCTTGGAGTGAGAAGGTCTGTCTTTTAGTTCCTGCTACAGAGGGGAAAAGTGGGGGGTTCCTGGAGCATAGGTTGCTTGTTTAGGATTTTCCTTCAAGTATCTAATTCGGCTCCTGGCCAGAAATGGTCCCATGGCAGCTTATCTGGCAAGGTAACTGGATATGCAGTACAGATTAGGACATATAGAGTATAGAGGTGCTGCTGCTATTCTCTTCTAGAGGCACATGGTTTAACTACAACAAAGACCAGCGGGAAAACGAAGCCAAATCCTGCTGTACTGTTATCATAGCATGGATGCTTTGAAAGATACAAACCATTTAAAGAAACAACTAGTTCTGCCAAGCAAGTAGACATATTTATTGTCAATATATGGCCCTGATGGAAAGTTGGGAGGGTCCCAACCCAAGGAGAACATCGAAACTCTCAAAAGCTCCTCCAGGGTTGGTACCTCCTTGATGCTCATGCAGCCAGATGGCAATGCTGATGCCCTCCCAACACCACACAAGCTTGTGAAACACCTTGACCCACCTTGACCAGTGTCCTCCTGACACACTCTCCAATTAACTGCACCTCTTCTATAAAGGAAAATTTCTTCTGTCTCCTCCTGCCAATAAACAGCATGTGCCAAAACGAACGCTAACCTCTTTCTCACATTTTTTTTCCCAAGTTTTCTGATTACAGTCAATTACGGAGCACTTACAGATCCCAGCTGTAGTTCAACCAGCTACATTGTACTCTTCTAGTCATTTATGTTGGGGGGGGGGGGGGGGGGGGTAGAATTATTTTTAGTATCTAGATAATTACATCTAATCAGTTCATTTATGAGCTGACTGGTCCCAACTCTGCAGCCCAAATTGATACTATGACTTTTCTCTTTTGACCAATGTACTTCAAAATCGCCTCATAAAAGGATGCTGAACATACCCTACCAGCCTGCTGATGTTCTCCTGTCCCCCTTGGGGAAGCTCAGGCATGGGGTGGATGGCTTTGAGCCAAAACTGTGGCTCCTTGGACCCCATGGGTGCTCTCCAATGCCTGTCCTTCATAAAAATGAGATTAAAGAATGAAGTGTTCTGCTGGAAGAAGTGTACCCATACGCCTGGGGACCGGCCCACAGTTTGGGGCAGGGCAGTGCTTTTAGGTGGGTCTCCATCCTGCTAATACCTTTTACACTGACCCTCTGTTGGGTTCTGTATTTGTTGAGATTTCCCCTATTGCATAAAATTGAAGAATACGCATTTTCCTCTCCAGGCAAGCGACATCGCCATGCGCACAGCATTGCTGATTTTTACCTTGAATGAAATTACATTGCTTTTTTCAAGGCAACAAATATGTACAGAAATGGAAATCAAAAAGGCAAACACATGAGAAGGCAACAGCACAGAGGGAAGTGGTTTCATTCCCTCAGGCAGCCCCTTTGCAGGGACAATGTACTGTCTTTTTAAACAGCCCTGTCTCAAACACTGGCTCATTTAACCCCTCTTTTACTCTGTCCCACTTGCCAGGCAATGTAAGTGCCTGCCCGCTCCCCCATCCACCCCAGCCAGCAGAAAGAACAGCCCTACACCCCAGAAGATTTAAAGAACAAATTAACTGAACCACAAAGACAAATATATACAGATTTCATTCTCTGAGAGCAATTTGCTAGCAATTTTAAATTGGAAAC